ACCTTCATCTTTAATAGTTATTGATAGTGTCTTTGCCATACTCATTCTGTTCCAACATGGAAGATACATGAATTTATCATGTGGAACTAAGTTCTTAAAATCACTGCCTTGGCATTTTTTTTTTTTCTCTTTCTCCTGTGCTCATGAAGTGGCCAGCCTGTCTCCTCCTTTGGATTGTGGCGTGTTCCACATCCATCAGCTGGCTGGAATCTTACAATGATGGGCTTTTGTTAAGTTTAGCAAGTGCCATGTTCAGGGGCTAGAGTCCACTTGTGGTCATTGAGATGGGCAGGTTGGTCACCACTGCATAGGCAGTTGCTTGGTAGCTGTGTGTCACACTGGGGGAGGATGTGGCTAAAAAAAAATGGTACTCTTCAGTCTTTAGCTTTATGTGTATGATGTGTATTTAACTTCATGTCCAAACACTAACATATCAGTTAATTAATCTGATGGGTGACCTTGTCTTCAAATATAAGATGTTGTGCTGCTTCAGCCAACCGCTGAGGCTTTTCAGGTGCCTGAGGACAATTGGTGAATATCTTTTACTTCATTTTACTTTGACATGAATATTACTCAATATTTGTTTGATTTTTTCTCTATATTTTTTAGTTGTAAATGGATCTTTTATTTATTATTTATTTATTTATTTATTTATTTATTTATTTATTTATTTATATGCGGTGCTGAGGATCGAACCCAGAGCCTCACACATGCCAGGCAAGTGCTTTACCACTGAGCCACAACTCCAGCCCCTGAATTTTATTCTTAATGTTCTATCAGAAAGTTACTTTTCTTTAATGAAAGATTGCCACATTGTGATTTTATTTTTCTTTTATAAGAGTAAATATCTTAACTCTTCCCCCAGTGGAATACATTTCTGATTTAATAATGACAGTGAGTTAAAAAGTAATATTATGACAGTGCAGGCTAAAATGTTTCTTTTTTAAAAAGAATGACTTCAAGGTGTTTATTTTTTGATGCATGCCATATTGGAGGCTGAAGCAGGGGTGCTGTACTACTAAGCTACATCCTAAGTCCTTTTTATTTTTGAGACAGGGTCTTGCAAAGTTGCCCAGGCTGACCTTGAACTTGTGATCCTCCTGCCTCAGCCTCCTGAGTAGATGGGATTACAAATGTGTGCCTCCATGCAGTTTATCTGTTTTTTTTTTTTTAAGAATTATGCATTAAGGGAAGGAGAAAATGTGATTTCGTGAGCTTTTTCCAGTATAAAATAGTGACAGTGTAAACCTCTAGTGTGTATTCTGACCCTCTGAAATTCCTAAAGCCAAAAATATTTTAGATAATTTTATATTCTCTGGCACCATTGTGACCATTTTCTGCTTGTTCAACATGAGAAGAGAAAGCAGTAAGTAGAATTTTACTTCTTTAACTGCTGATTCTAGTGGTGGTTATCTAGAGAAAGAGAAGGAAAAGTAGCCCCCGATAGCACTGGGGTGGATGCTGTGAATAGGCTGGGACCCCAGATAGCACTTCCCAGAGGCACCATCAGTAAGGATGCTGGTGCTAACCTCGGGATTGGTGCTCCGGTACCAAAGAGAGCAAGCAGCTGGTAGGTTATGGATTATTGAGATTACAGGTGGCTGGACAGACACTAATTCTTTTAGCATTTAATGCTTGATGTTTATTATTCTAAGAGTTCAGCATCATTTTTAAAAAAGTATTTTTTAATTATAAACAGACAAGTGACTTTATTTTATTTATTTATGTGGTGCTGAGGATTGAACTCAAGTGCCTCACACGTGCCAGGCAAGCACTCTACCACTGAGTCACAATACCAGTCCTCCTCATCATTTTGACAAGATATTTCTTATAGCTTGTTAAAAAAAATCCAAAAAGCAATAATTAAAAATCCCCCTAACCTTCTGGGGTTGGTGTAGGACAGCTCTTCCTTTCTGTGTTTAATACTACCTCACCTCCATCCTCCTGGCTAGGAAAGCATTTTTCCCTCCAAGAAGTGAATGCAGTTGAACACCTTGGAGCTGCGTGGATGTTCTGTGTCCTCTGACCACCCTCATCCCAGACACCATTGTGCTGTAGCACGAGTGTCATGTTCTCTCAGAGCACCATGCCATCTTTCATGTCTCAGATATGGGCCAAACTCTCCTAATAGATCTCCTTTCTCTGTCTTCTGGTACACATTTACTAAGTTGATTTTGATGCAACTGTGATGTAATACCCATGGGTTTTTTTTTTTTTTTTAAAGAAATTTCTTTATTATCAAGTTCTGCTAATCTTAGAAATGGACCAAACTAGGGCTTCTTGTTGTGACCATCCTGGGACTGTTCCTGGACTCCTCCTCTGCTGTGAGGAAGTCTTGTCTGTGACCAAAAGGTGGCTGTGGCAGCTCTCTATTTTGGACACTAGATAAAACTGGAACACCTCCGCCCATCTGGGCCTAGTCTTTTTTCTGTAAATAGCACTTAAACATGTTCTTAGGCAGGTATAAGACCCCTCTGTGGCACTGCAGGTGCTGACTGGTGGTGTTAGAACCCTGCAAGCTGGGTAATGAGGGCACGGCTGCCCCACACCATCCACAGAGAACATGTGTGGTCTAGAGCTAGAAATGGAGCACCTTGGATCTTTTCCTGGTTAAAAACTTGTCTTCTCCAAGTTGCCATCATCTCGCTGTTTCTCACCTGGTATTGTCCAGTCTGTAAAGGGGGTCAAGAGGATCTGTCAGAGGAGCATCTGTAGTATCTGCCCTCTGAGTGCTCTCTGGCAGAAGTTGTTTTTCTGAAACTGTGGACCAGCTTTGGCATTTTAAGCAGATTTGTTGGCACCAGATTGACTAGCAGCAGCAGGGATGGAGCATCTTGTCTGTCTCACTTGGATTCTGCCCTAAGGACTCACAATCTGTTTTCCCTGCAGCACCAAATACCCTATCACTGTTCAACGAATGAGGTAACTGAAGCAGCCAGGCTTCCAGCCCTCCATTGCACAGCCATGGTCCCTCATGAAGCCCTTTCTACGGAAAAGGCCAGTGAGCCTGGGCACCCAGCTCAGGAGGGCAGGTGACTTCCAGTCGGTATAATTATCTGGGAGGACACAGAACCAAGTCCTTCCTAATTAGAAAACCAAATAACCTACTTGAATATTTGATTAGCATCTTCCAGATTTTCTTCAGTGAGGAGAGAGTCCCCAGAAGTTTGAAGGCCTAATTTTGTGTTTGTTATCACAGTGACTTTGCTTTTTAAACTGCCAGGAAAGAGTGTTCTGCTGTAGGGAACATGTACTCACCTAAGTTACTGTCCTGTTCATGTTTTACACCGAACACACCTTTCCTTATGTGACTACCTCCTTGTGCCTCTTCATGATGCAGTTTTACCTGCAGCCCTGGTTGTACCCCTGTGCATGAATTAGTCATCTGGTGAGGGCCCCCACGGAGGGGTGTAACCTTGGGTGAGCCAGCACTGATACTAGGAGCTGTCAGATACAGCACTCTAATGCCTCAGTCTTGAATAGGGGATCTTGCAGCGCCCCATCCCAGCTACTTCTGCAGTGGTTCTCGGAGTGTGTCACTAGCCAGTAGCTTCAGCTTGAGCCCCACTCTGGATGTACTGGATCAGATTGGGGCAGGGCCCAGTGACCTGTGTTTTAACAAGCCCTCCAGGTGATTTTGATAGTTTGAAGACTGCATTACAATGATATAACCATGTTTTGATATTTTTTTTTTAAATCTTTGGGGCCTAATGTGTGCTAGTAAGCACACTACTGCTGAGCTAAGTCCCAGCCCTTCAGGTTTTCTTTTAACCTATTGTTTTTTTGAGGCGGGGTTGAGAGTCTAGAAAATGCAAACTGTAGTAACAAATAACAGATCAAAAGTTGCTTGAAAATGAGGGAAAGGGCAAGGGAGTGAATTATAAAGGAATATGAACTTGGGGGGGGATTATTTTGAGGTCACAGTGTCTTGAGTATATCTATATGTCAAAATTCAGCAAGTTGATTAAATCACACAACAGTCTGTTATTTACACCTCCACAAAGCTATAAAAAAATTTAAAGTGATACTTACCTGGGAAAGGCAAGGGACCAGGTGAGAACAACACATTTTTTATGATGTTCACAGGTTCTCATCATATTGTTACATAAATGAGTAAAATAAGAAGGCTAACATGAAAAACAAAATGGAATTTGCTCTCCTGAACACCACCATTGCTTGCAGCTGGCATTGGTGGCTAAAGCCCTGCTGCCTGTGAAACTGTCCTCAGTGTTCAAAGACAACCCTCCTGGCCATCCCCCTCCTCCCCCATCTTAGATCTCCCTGTACTGTCCTCCACTGTTAGTCACATGTCTGCTCATCTTTCCTTGCATCTTGCATAGCTTTTCTACCCGCTGTGGCATCCATCCCAGATCCTCACTCTCCTGGGTTAGTTGAGGGAACCAGGAAGAAACTCTGGATCAATTTTGCATCTTTTACAGACCTAGTGAAAGGAGCATTCTGCAGTGTTTTGTATTTCATTGATATGGTCTCTGAATTATTGTATTAAACATTTATACACCACAGTTACTAATAAAAAGCTGAGACTTAGGTTGACTTTTTCTTTTCTTTTTCTTTTTTTTAGTACTGGGGATTGAACCCAGGGGTCCTTTACTGCTGAGTTACATTACCAGCTCATATGTTGAGACAGTCATGCTATTTGCTGAGGCTGGTATCAAACTTGTGATCCTCCTGCCTCAGCCTCCCAAGCAGCTGGGATTATAGGCTTGCACCATTGCACCTGGCTTTAGATTGATATTTCTTAGCAGTGCATTCCTTGGATGCAATATTTAGGAGGCCTTCTACTTCCTAAATTTATTCCAGTCAAACTTGATTTAGTAGTAAAAACCCAGGGGGAATTTTTCCTCCTCAGTATGGGGATTGAACCCAAGACCTCATGCATACTAAGCTAACCCTTTACCACTGAGCTCCATTCCTAGCCCCAGGGGGAATTCAGTGAACTTCCTGACAGGCTGTGTCCTTGCTTCCTTGTCTTCCTGCAGATCTGAATTTTATCCACTGTAATCAGGACTGCTCACCTAAGAATTTCTGGATCCAGACCAAGGGCTCCAGCATTCACTGGATTCTGCAGCAAGTGAGTGGCCGCAGCATTACCTCTGTAGAACCTGGGGATGCTTTTGTCATATTGAGCACTATAGTCTTCCTGTGGTATCTAGGTGTGCATGATGTACTTCCCAGTGGGCAGACTATAAAGCATTGTGACTTTGCAATGAGAGAAACTGATAAATCCAAAATCTCAAGAAATGAATAGTTTTCTTTTCTGTGATTATTAATACTCTTTATAGTAAGCATATACTCAAGAGAGTGAACTATATTAATTTTAGTTCCAATATATTTGAAGCTACTGGGATTCACTTGAGAGCTTAGAATTGGCCGAGGAAGGTAAAGTTACCATTTAGCTCTACCCAGGATCAGGTCAGGTCAGGTCAGGTCAGATCAGGTCAGATCACATGCCCATTTAATTTATAGGAATGAACTTTTAAGACCATGGCCTTCAGATTGCCTAGGATTATTTCCATGGAAATGCCACAGCATATTACCAAATTTAATTGGATTTCCGGTGTGTTCATGTGTCACAAATATGATAGAAAATAGTTGTTTTTAATAATAAAGGAATGAGGTGATCTGGCTTTTCTGTTTTGATCCAATTCAGTATCTTTTTAGTCTATAAAGGTGGTTCACTAAATACTTAATCTAATATGAGGTCCATTTTTGCTTTTGTAAGATCTCTGGGTCTGGAATTAGATTTAGGAAAATTCAGCCACCATAGCTGCGGGAGTAGGCAAAGTATGAGAACATGACTATCGGGAGATGAAAATTTCTGATTTCTAATCAACATAGAATGCCATTCACTTTAGTAGGGGCAGGGCCCTGCAAGATGGTTCTTCAGGAACTAGTTGGTCATGTTTCTTCTGTCTTTGACTTTTCTGAAAATAGGATAACTAGTTCCACTTAGAGCTGAGTTTTATGTTGATTTTACATATTGGGGTCTTAGGCTACCTGTTAATCAATAGAAAATGATTTTTCTTCATTCTATTATAGAAAATAACTATTTCTCACCCTTTCCCCTTCCTGTTTCACGAAACACTGCAGAAGGCTGTGATACATCAATAGCTTTTGAAGTACTGACAGATACCTGTATTTTGCAGGAAGGATATTGTGACTTAGGATTCCCTGGTGGAAGACAACCACACACTCTGGTCTTACCCCGACGATGCAAGTGTGACTGCTGGCATCTTCATGAGCTCCAGAGGTCACAGCACACTACCACGGACTCTCATGGCTCCTCGGATGATTTCCGAAGGAGATGTAGGAGGCATTGCTCAAATCACCTCCTCTCTCTTCCTGGGCAGAGGCAGTGTGGCCTCCAACCGGCACCTCCTCCAGGCTCGTGGCATCACCTGCATTGTTAATGCTACCATTGAGATCCCCAATTTCAACTGGCCCCAATTTGAATACGTCAAAGTGCCTCTGGCTGACATGCCTCATGCCCCCATCGGACTGTACTTTGACACTGTGGCTGACAAGATCCACAGTGTGAGCAGGAAGCATGGGGCTACCTTGGTGCACTGTGCTGCAGGGGTGAGCCGCTCGGCCACTCTCTGCATTGCCTACCTGATGAAGTTCCACAACGTGTGCCTGCTGGAGGCGTACAACTGGGTGAAAGCCCGGAGGCCTGTCATACGGCCCAACGTGGGCTTCTGGAGGCAGCTGATAGACTACGAGCGACAGCTCTTTGGGAAGTCTACAGTTAAGATGGTACAGACACCTTACGGCATAGTTCCAGACGTTTATGAGAAAGAGTCCCGACACCTGATGCCTTACTGGGGGATTTAATGCCACCAAAGCCTGCATCGGCAGCCCCCGAGCAGTACCAGCATCTGCTACACACTGTCTGCTCCCCTCTTCATCTTTCTTTTCAAATTGTTGACTTTTGGTTCCCCCTTAAAAGAGTTTTTAAATTGGGTGTGAAATTTATTTTGAGAGAGAGGGAGGGGACATAGGGGAATGCATACATTGCTAGTAACATTTTTAAAACTAGCATTTTGAAATAGTGTTTATGAAAATCTTTAACTGGCTTTTAATCATTTTTAACAATTTGAACAGTTTAATAAGCTGTTTGGTTCTGCTTTTGGCACCATGGCAGGTGCAGGAACAACTCAGTGCAAAATATCACTGTGGGTCCTGACCAACCCTTTAGACAGGCTTTGCCCATGGCTGCCCGCCAAACAGACGCTTAGAGAAGACTGATACCAGCTTCAGTCTACTGGATTAGCTCTACTCTTTCCTTTCTCATTATTTAGTGACTCTGTAAGTTAAAATAACCTAACCTTTATTATTTAGTTGATAAGTATAATGAAATCTGCTGCAAAAACCCTCTTGAAATCAATGTGCCCAGGATTATATTAGCATTATTTTTAATAAATATATCTGCTTAACAGAAGTTTTACTAATTTGGGAGTGTGTATGTATGTGCATGTGTTGACAGTGGAAGATGGTATCCAATAACTGCTAACCTATGGCTCTAATGACAACTATGAACACTACTTGAAGTAGACCTCCCAGTCATGTCAGTGTTACATGTCCTTGTGGACGGCAGACATTAATATTCATGTTGGAACAGTGGAAAGTTTTTGTATTGGGGATTTACCTAGGATGCTTTACCTTTGGGTCAACCTAAATTACTTAGGGCCTAAGTTGCTGAGGCTAGCCTCAAACTGTGTTCCTCCTGCCTCAGCCTCTCAAGTCATGGCTAGAGTGTTATGTTCTGATAAATGATCTGGCTTTCTGCTTTCTCTTGGTATATGGAGTGCACCAAAGTATTGAGTCCTTCATCAAAGAAATCAGTCCCACCCCCCCCAGTCCCGTACCCGGGATTGAACTCAGGGGCATCTGACCTGACCCAAGCCACATCACCAGCCCTATTTTTTTTTTTTKTGTGTGTGTGTGTGTAAATGAACCTTTATTTTGTGGTGCTGATAATTGAACCCAGTGCCTCACACATGCTAGGTAAGCACTCTATCACTGAGCCACATCCCCAGCCCTAAAGACAGGGTCTCACTGAGTTCTTTAGTCCTCACTTTTGCTGAGGCTGGCTTTGAACTCATGATCCTGTCTTAGCTTCTGGAGCCACTGGTGTTACAGGTGTGCATCACCATGCCCGGCTAAAGAAATCAATTCTTAATAGTCAAGCAGACACATACCTTTTGTTAACACAAAAATATTCTAAACCAAACCTTAAGTATAAATGATAAGCAAATAATGGCTTCCTTTAACTTTAGATATGTCACCCAGTTTCCTGCTCCCAATAAATTCGACAACACAATCCATGAGAGTTGGGATAGAAGTTTAATGACCAGGTTGCCCCTTGTTTTGAATGAGAAAGTCATCCAGAAATCTGTACCACACAGCAGGAAAGTCCCATCACTGCCTCATTTTACTTGGTCTGTTTTGGCAGGAAGCCACTGACAGGCCAGCAGGTAGGCACATGTTTAGACAAACAAAAAAGTCAAAGATAAAATTTCCTGACTTTACCTGCTTTGTGGCAATAGTTTTCCATCTAAAAATCCTACCTTGTTTTATACCATTTGCCTACTCTTATAAAAGTACATCATTCTTGCCTAAACAGGAAAATTAAAGTTTATATGGAAATTCAAAGGAACACAAATTAACATTAGCACATGATCAAAGATAAAATCCAGAGATTGATTCTATTAGGAAGCCCAGTTTGAGAACTGATAGTCTTTGAGTAACAGCTCAAAAATAATCATTGTACTATGAGGAAAACAGCTGGTCACAGGTATTAAAGAAAATTTCCTGTAGAAATCCCAGCAAACTCCACTACTGAGCTGTGACTAAGAGCTTTCTTTGCGTTCGTGAAGCCTGATAACCTAAGTGCTTTGGCCTTAATTCATTCTGCTTACTTTGCATGTGCACAATGTTATTGGGGATTAAACCCAGGGGTGCTCTCCCTTTGAGCTGCCTCTCCAGCCTTTTTTATTTTGAGACGGTCTCACTGAGTTTCACAGGCTGGTCCTGAACTTGGAGTCCTGCCTCCGCCTCCTGAGAAGCTAGGGTTACAGGTATGTGCCTCCACACCTGTTAGAAAAGACCAAAAGACTAGTAGCTTGAGATTTTTCTACAGTTGGCTTTTCTGTTAGAGAAGCTTAACACATGCTTAATTCAGAACAAACCTTGACAATATTTTAGAGATCAATCTTTATAATGTCTAAACATGGCAGTTAGGGCAATTGTTTATTAAAATGTAAGCAAAGGGGAAAAAGCCATACCATCTTTTAAAATACAGGACCAAATTCCACATCACACCAACTCATTTCACTGTGGATGTACAGCACTGGTTAATATGGCCACCACTACAAAATCATGAGATGCACCCCCATAAATGCTTTTTCAAAAAAACCCACTTTCTTACACATCAACATGAAGAATGGAATTAAGAAAAAAATTTGATATATTTTGTTAGAAAGGTATTTGTAAAGCATTTTTCACCCAAGGGCTATTTAAGATTTTTTTTTTTCAGCTTGACCTAAGGGCTTTTCAATATTTTTATTTGGCCTATACTTCTCCAAAGAAATACTCCCCAACCTAAACAAAATAGGCTAAACTTGCCCTGCATTCTAACATTTGCCAGAGTGGTCTACAACAGACTATAATGCTCCCTTCTAAATGGCAAATATCTTTGAAAATATCAGTTTATTAGCTGTTCACACAAAGTAACATGTTTGACCTAGAAGGTATAAAAGGGGAATTTTCATAGTGGTCCCAGTATAGAGCAAGCATTTCAAACGTATAGGTCATATAGCTCCTCATAATCTTTTTATAGCTTTAGGAACATACTAATTAAATAGGAAAGTAGAACATATCTTTAACAAATCAGACCAAAAAAACAAAACGCCCAAAGTGCCCACAATATGTGTATATACACAAAATATTCAAATAATTTAGAATATGCAACCCATATACAATGTTAACTAGTAACCATAGGAAAAACATGGAAACTGTCCTAGTATACCTTGTACTTTTCTATCTCAAGCGTGTCCAGACAAAAATTAAATTACATAATAAGCCATAGAAATTTTAAAGCTAAAATGCAATGCCAAAAAGAAAAGTGCTTATTAATCACCATTCAAGCAGTGGGGTGAAGCTGCCCGACACAATACACAGTATGGAAATAAGTAACCTTGGTTACTGTTTCCAAGGACACTGGGCTCTTGGCTAACAGGAGCCGAGGTGAGGCTGAACGCAATGATGAGTCATTTTAACAAACATGTACAAAGAAAAATCAGCCTGATGGCATTCCACACTTAGCGAATCCTTATTGGGGTAGGTAACTAAACATTTCAAGTATTAAGCAGATATTAAAAAGTAGTGAACACTTTTCATCACAAAAGGTTTTTGTTGACATCTACTGAATTTTCTTCTGGCACCTCCCAAAGAGTCACTGAACCTATCACTTGATAAACACAGCTGTGATTACATGCAGGAATTTAATCTGATGCATTCTAGAGTCAATCTAGGAAGGAAAACCAATCTAGTGAACAGGTACTTTAAAAAAATATCATTGACATAGGCCACTGTGTCCATACAGCCTTCTCCCCAAAGTATTTCAGCAATATAAATTCCATCAAACTGGGAAACATTCTTGCTAAGGTAGATTCAATTATGGAATCTGCAAGACAGTTAAGCCTGCGTGTTATTTTAGTGCCATAATGAAAACTGTTGCAGTCCAGGATGAAGTGGGGCAGAGACCTCAGGAAAGGTCTGCTAAACACCAGCCCACCTGTCCCGTTACAGACACCACACTCACCTTGCAAAGGCAGAAGGCTCTAGGTGACAAATCAGAAAGCCATCTCAGTTACAAATAGCTGGAGATGGCATCATTGAGAGCAAATGAGAAAAACAGACTTGACTTATCAACACTTCTCTGTGCACCCTGTATACAGTAGGGTAAAGCAGAAGCCACATCAACAGCTGTTTAAAATGCTCTACGACTTTCTTAAAGAATATGTAAAAGGTGTAAGTTGAAACAGCACAATTCCTCCAAGTTTTGTCCCAAAGAGAGAAAACAATTATGTAAAAACAGCAGACATCCAGACAAAAAAATGCAACCTTCTCAAAGTTTACAAATAAAAAACAAGCCTAGGTCAGAAAGCCTAAGTCATACAAAGTGAAACATACTAGATCCAAAATATCTTCATGGAGCACAAAAGCAACAGAGAAATATGTGTCCTAGATTGGTCCATTCTTCCAAGAAATAACAGCCTTTAACATTTGGCTCTGGGTCCTCTGATTTTATGCATTCGGTATAAGCGGCAAAGAAAATCTTACACCAGAGAACATGAGCCTTTTCCTTCTAAAATTTAGTGAGGTTGATGAACAATTTCCTTCCATGCTTCTACGGCATGTATCTCTACCATAAATAGACACGTATCTTACTATCCTGCTCACTAGGCTGGGAGTTCCTCTCTCACCCTGAGTTAATTTTCAGATCTCTCACAGATATGCAGTGCTGGCCCCTATGCAGTCATCTTTGGAAATGTGGAGAGATGCCACTGCAGAGAGATTTTGTTTCACAGCCTTTCCAGATCTTGTCTGGAAAAATAACTAGCCTTTTTGTGGGGCAAAAATGGTTTTCAATGAAGGCTTCAAAGGGGAAGCATATTCATCCTGATGTGCAGGTTTGGGGCCTCTGTCAGAAGTGGATGCTCCTCTCCACTGCAAAGGACTCAGGCATGTTTTGGGAAAGAGTTTTCTTGAAAGGTGACAAGGGTCAGGGGTTCAGTTGTGACAACAAAGATGGTACATCTGCCTTCACTGCCCGCTATTGTCCAATGGAGATGAGCAAAGTTTTTTTCTTTAAGAACATAGAGTATCAGTTTAATCACAATTTCCAGTTTATTCATTACAGATATTTACAAACTAAATGCAGAGAAATGCATTCTACTTCACAGGACCACGTGTTCTAGACATAAAATAAGCACTGGCTTGAACAGTCCTGCCAATACCAGTACCACAATAATAAGTTATTTTTCTTCAAATGTCGAATTCTTCACAGTTTCAGTACTGCAGCAGCAAAACATTCTTTAAAGAAAACTGTGGTCCATATTTTCAAACATCTTTAAGAGAACTAGAAATAAGTGTGTGAACTTCTGTTGTCACATGTGGTTTAGGTAGGCAATTTTATCTCAAATCCAAGAGACTGGCAGTAGGAATCAGAGATCAAAGGTTGTCTATAGGAATGTCGGGGAACTTCCACTGCATTTTCTTTACCTCTTGGGGAATTCATAGATCCATGCAGGTGAACCTTGCAGTACTCATATTCTGTTTATTGACCCTGTCACCCTCAGAGGTGTGACAGAAAAAACACAAAAACAAAACAGTGCTTCCTAAAGGACCTTTTCAGAGCAAGTCAGGCAGGAT